AGTCCCACAGCTATGGCACTGGGTGAGTGGGTGAAAACAAGTCCTTGTTTAAAGACCATTAACTGAAGGAAGCTGGCCTGCCTCTTCTTCCAACAGAAACCAGATGTGCTGGCCAGCAAGGCATGCACAAAACTCTTCATCCTGCTCAGGGGGTTCCCATACGATTCTTGACTGGGACTGGGGACAGAAGGGAAAATGTATTATTCTAGAGAATTGCTACAGTCTGCATATGGGAACGAGTCTGGTGCAACCGAATTTTCATTTGTTTCTTACTGTTCATGCATGGACAACTTGGAGCAACAGATTGTTCTGCTGAAGTACTGCAAAGAGATACAATTTTGCAGGGCCACAGTCAGTTCATATCCCACATGGCAATGAGCAGCTAGAGCTGAACATTAAATGTCATAATCTCTGTGGAAACCTCAATGAAGTAAAAAATCTATATGTCTCAGAGCTCAGCAGAAAAATTATCATTCAGAGGGAGCACCTTGCGTGTTTTCTTGAATAACACTGAACAATTACAGAAGGCTGCCAGGGTGACTAAGGATGATCTATCACAAATGTTTGTACACAGAAGGTGGTGAATTGTACCACATTTCCTAGTCTGTCTAGGAAAAGACAGACTTTCTTTCCTAGTCTGACCCCTCCTCACTGCTTTATGCAGCAAAGAAGAAATTGCTACCCCTATGGATTGTGTGTAAATTTACAGGCTCCTTTTGTACCAGCTGAAGCAGAGAGCAGGCAGTTTCACAAGGATTCAAGCTGTTAATGGCTGAAATTTTGGCAAACATTAAAGCTTCCTTAGGACTAAGCCATGTTCTTGCTCAAGTTAATACAGCCAGTTCTCACCCTTCCTTCCAGGGTCGGCAGGAAGGGCAGCTGGGATAAGTATCATGTGAAACTCTGGTTGGAAGCTGGGACACCTGTGGAGGCAGTTTGGCTCTGGCCTCTGTGTGTGTAAGGAGACCTGGAAAGGGCTGGTATTTTATAGATGTTCTCATTTACCTCTCCCATAGTCACAAGGTGAGCAGTGCTTTTACACTTGTGGCACTAAAAGTGGAGTTTTTCAAAGTCTTCCTCTTGCAGAAAAAAAATATCTGTAACTCACCTACTATTAAATAGCATCTGAGTCTGCAGCTCCTCTGCTTTTCCATCTATAACTATGGCTATAACTGCCATTGTCAATTCCCATTTGGGAGACCAATTTTGATTTAAGTGCACACAAGAAACTTCCTCCATTGAAAAGAGTGCAGTATTTGTTAACCAGAAAGCACACAGCCATTAGAACAAGACTTAAAACTTTACATGACCACTTAAAACGCTGCACATTCCCATTACCTTCCGTAAATGTATTAATTCCACCTTCAGCTGCTTCACTTTACCCATCCCCTAAAAAATGCCAAGCTTGGTAAGACTTATTTAATTTCTAGAAATTCTGTCTCCCCCAGTTGATATATTTTTGCTTTCTCCTTTAAAATTCTTCCTCACCATACCTAGGTTTTATTTCTTTTGTGCGCCTACTAAAATTCTGTGGAGGCTGGGAACCTCCAGGTGAACCTCACCAAACTGGTTTGCTCTTCTCTCAGAAAGGGAGATGAAGGCAGTTTTTAAGAAGTTTTCTTGATTTTCTGCCTGGAAAGCAATAATTTCAAGTTTGCAAAGTTCTCTAAATAGTTAGATATGCAGCAATCATGGAAACGTGGATGTTGCTGGGCCCAGGCAAGACAAGCAGTATCCTAAGACAGAATACTGTCAGCAATAGGGAAATGTATGGGTTTAGCCCCAGCTGGAAACAAAGCACCACACAGCTTCTCACTCATTTTGCCTTGGACTGGGGAGAGAATTGGAAGGGTAATAGTGAGAAAACTCATGGGCTTGATAAAGACAGTTTAATAGGTAAAGCAAAAACTGCACACTCAAGCAAACAAAACAGGGAATTCACTCATTAATAATGGGCAGGCAGGTGTTCAGCCATCCCCAGGGAACCCAGGATTTGTCATGGGAAATGGTTACTCAGGAAGGAAAATGCCAGCACTCTGAATTTCCCTGCCTCCCTCCTTCTTCCCACAGCTTTATGTACTGATCATGACATTATCATATGGGATATCCCTCGGGTCACTTGGGGTCAGCTGTCCTGGCTGTGTCCCCTCCCAACTTCTTATGCTTCACCAGCTCATCATTGGTGGGATGGAGTCAGAAGTAGGAAAGGCCTTGGCTCTGTGCAAACAGTGAGCAGCAATAACCAAAACATCCCCATGTTATCAACACTGTCTTCAGCAGAAATCCAAAACACAGCCCCTTACCAGCTACTAGGAAGAAATTTAACTCCACAATAGCCAAAATCAGCACAAAAAGGACTGTGCTTCTCTCACCAGATGTCTATGACCTGACAGTTTATTGCAAGGGAGCAGAAAAACAGAATAGCTGCAGATAATTTCAAGAGAGAAGTTCTGTGTTTGAAATGGCAAACTCTCCTGAGACAGAGGGTATATGTCCTCTCCAGAAGCACCAGTTGCTGCCTTCACTTCACTCACAATTTTGAAAGGGAGATTCAGCTACTTGCCCATCCCACACCACAAGAAGTTCAGACATGACCAGCCCCCATCTCCTCATCCTTAGGGCAGGAAAATTCAGTTCTGTGTCTCTTGAATAATGAACACACACACAGTGACTGGCATTGGTCAGGCCTACAGCAATAGAAAATTTGTAAATTACTCTTCCAGATAAGCACAGAGGATTTTCCCCACACAGTTAGTCCTCAAGACATACCACTTGCTTCCAGATAACCTCAGGCTTGAACATGAGTTATTTTTCTCAGAGAGCTACTTGGAATATGAGCACACACTAATCTTCTAAGAGGAATCCTTAGCAAACAGAGAAACTCCTATTGTTTGTTTGTTTTTTAAGTAATGAATGAATACTCAATTTTGCTGGACCTGTAGCCAAATGTCTAGACAAAAGCATGCACTTCAAAACCTCAAAAACATGTAAGGGAATCGCAGTTTATGTTTGTTTGAGTCTGTGTATTTTAAGAGAACTTATAAACTCATTTAACTCACAAAATTTTGAGAGAAACCTTGTCAAGGGCATATGAAATAGAAACACTGGCCTGATGGTGCTCAAGAATCACTGGCATCAGGCCTAACTCATTATTTTATGAAGGAACTGGCAGTCAATCAATGGGAAATTATCTGTGCTGTATTGACATAAATCATAATTGGTTTCCCTTGAATGCCATGCCAAATCCTTAACAGAATGAGTTACTGTATGCTTTATACAAGTTTTCTTTCTTTATGAGTTCAGTTTAAATTCATATTTGAATGCAGATGAACAGTGGCAACCCCAGCAGAGCAATCCCTTGGGAACACAAGAACTGCCATTCCTAACCCAGCATCCTGCATCTAAGAACAGATAGTATCTGATGTCTCAGAAGCCAGAGAGGTGAGAAAGAAAATGCATCTGTTCAACCATGCATTGGGATTATAGGAAGCAGGGTTTTAAGAGACTTTAGTGTTCCTTGTTTAAATGGGAAATGTGGTTGCATCTCTTTTTTCCCTTTCTGCAACTTAGCATTTTCATATATGTGCCTATCAATATAGTATCCCATTAACATCCTGAAATTTTGCTCAGAAACTGATTTCTTGCTGAGAATGACCCTATTTTTTACAGCCTGGAGGATGAGCATGGCAAAGAAGCATTTTCATTTTCCCTCTGGTTTTCAGCTGACAGTTTCTTCTCTAGGTACAAGAGTCACTACAGGTCATGGTATCAACCTGGCATTCCAATGCTGCTTGTCACATTCTGCCCAGCTGATCAAGTGGCATCTCTGATGATAAGTACCAACAGAGACTAACACCAGCCTCTCTTTCTCTGTGGCTTTGTTTCCCCCAGTTAAAGACTGAAGAAGTAGTGCTGAGGATTTCTCTCTGAAGCCCTGCTAACTCCCTGTTTTTGGACAGAAAGAAGGAGAAAATGAGAGAAAAAGAAGGGAAAAGCCATAAGAAAGGAAAAGGATGGGTATGGCAGGGTTTCACATTCACAGCTTTCTGGTGAATGGGAATGTTTTCCATCATGCTACAGTCAATGAACCAAAATCTATCATGCCAGCTGGCCTCTGCCTTCCTTTGTGCAGCAAGTCCCAGGGACTGGAGCAGACCTTGCCTTGCACAGTTGCTGCTGAAAGGGTCAACTGAGCTGCTGCGGTCACATCAAACGAAGAGCAGCTTCAGTGAGTTCATGGCAAGTGAGAGCAAATATAGACTAATGAAATACTGACACTGCAGTAAATCACTCCTCCTGATTGCTCTTTTTTTTTCCCTGGTTGTTGTTCCTGTATTCATTATACACATTTTCCCATCACAGACCAGCAACTATTATACTTTTATATTCTTCATGAGTTAATAACCCTTAAACCAGACAAACTGGCATTTAGAAACTTCTTGACTTTTCTTCCTGTATATATATTTTTTTTTACTTTTCCTTTTTTTTTTTTTTTTTTATTTTTTTTTTTTTTTTTTTTTTTTTTTTTTTTTTTTAATCAAGATGTTCAAAATTGAAAAACACATTCCAGGATGTACTTCCACCAGCCAAAATAAGCATACTTTGTATCTGTTCAGGCATGAGGCATGCATATTAGATGCACTTGTATTAACTCACTAACCAGCACAGACCCAGGACTTAAAATGGTCTGTAATTTCTTGGCACCTGAACTGTGTACTTACAGTAATATCATAGGCTGACAGTTTGTTGATTAAAAGCAAGCCAAGTAAAGCACATACAGATGTCAGTACTTGATTCAAATGATTATTCACATACTTTCCTAGGTTAGATAGAAAAAAACCCCACATTTCTTTCTGCAGCATAACAACTTAATGTATAATCTGGAGTAACTACAGGACCTTTTTTCCTCTCTTTAGTAAAATTGTTCTTACTATAGGTCTGTATAATACCTACATGAAGTTTTAAGTGACCTTCTGAATATCCTTCTTCAGTATTGTATTGCCTGGAGCTATCCTCAGCTTTAGAAAGGCATTCTTGTTTTAAAAGAAAACAAACAAACCAACAGAATTTGTTTTAGATTGCAGTAAGTTAAAAAAATGAATAGATTTTTTTTTTTTTTTTGTAGACCTCCAGAAAATCTTTAGGCCATATAAATGCATACTTTGTAATAATAAGACACAGTGGCCTTGAACAAGTTATCAAACCTTCTAATCCAACAGCATTTCATACAATAAAACCAGAAATCTGAAAATATATTAATCATGTCAATGTATGATAAGAATCACTTATGCTGCAATCAGAAAGCAAGATAAAAGATAATAGAAAATTGTAAAGAAATACAGAAAAATATTGTATTTCATACCAAAAAATGCAGAGATCTCTTCCCCATCAATCTATGTGAAAATAAAATGCAGAAAAAACCCAAAACATTTAACTGCCCTAGGTAGATATGAAATTATGTCGGCATAGCAGACACCAAAATTGTCTCAGAAAAATTTCCAGGCACAAGGTGGGAGTGCAAAGAGCTATGAAGAGAAGAAAATGGACAAAGATAATAAAATCATTATGAATTATTGCAAAGTAAGCCTAGGGAAAAAAGCTATGTGAGCAGGTGAGTGAGTGATCTGTTGTGATGATATATACCCCAAAGAACAGTCAGTAATAGTTATCTCTCTCTTCCAGGTATGCAATCAGACCAGGTCTTCATTCCAAGATACTAAAACATTTCCAGGAAATATCTGAAATAAAAACAATATAAAAGATAGTAAGCTGTAAGCAGCAGTAAGAAGTGATACAATACAAAAACATATTTTCAGCATCATTGCCAAAACCTCCATTTTCTATCAAAAGGTTAATAACATTTTCTTTGGTTTTTTAATAGTGACATAGACAGAGACATCCTCAGAATAATTTCATGCACAGCTAACTTTGTCAAGAGGGTCTCAGAAGGATGTCTGAGAAGAAAAGGGATCTGTCTCACTCCAAAAAAAAAAAAAAAAACAGCATCTTGGGAAAAAATCTTGATAGCTGGGAACAAGTGAGAGAAGTGTAAGAAGTGCAGACTTGGATGAGGGACAAGAGTAACAGAGCAGAGGAAAAAAACATCATAGGAAGAACAAAAAAGGCAGAGAACAGACTGCATTTCTGAACATCTCAGATGCCTGTGTATTAATACAAAATCATGCGGAGCTATCTGGCAGAGCTGGATGTCCTTAAACAAGAACAAAACTATGAGTCAACTAGAATAGAGAGCTGGTGGGAATACTCACATGGCTGGAATACTTACCAGCTTGTTCAGCCAGGGAAAGGCAAGGAAGAAGTACTGCTGAGTGGCAGAATGTGAAAAGATCTATAGAGAAACATCTTAATAATAATAATAATAATGACAAAAAAAAGCAAAGATGCTATCCTGGCAAATGTCAGCCATCAAACCAAGGGGATCAAGTGGAAGACACTTCTGTGAGAAATGAGCAGAAAGTCCCCAGGGTACAGGGCTTCACAGTAAGAAGCTTGAAAACTCCAAGCAACTCTTGGGAAAGAGGAGAGCAGGCTCTCCAGAAACTTCCCAAGGAGCAAATTTGATGATTTTTTTGATGCAGAAAACTGTGCAAACAACCAGAAGGGAAGTAGGTCTGAATCTCAGCATAGTCTGTAGGGAAAAGTTATTTGAAAATATCAGAGTGAAAGGGAAAAAGAGGAGGCAAGCTGAGCTGAGGAAATGAGTTAAAGAGCCCCCACAAGTGAAAAAAAGCAAAGACAAGATATTGGACTACAAGGAGGAACTTGAAAACCTAATAAATAAGATCCCATGGGAAACAGGGAAAAGGAGTTCAGAATTATTGACCCCTAAGGAGATAATAAAAGCAAAATTGTAGAATATTCTAGTCAGTTGGGGAGGAAATGGGTAGGAAATGTACCAGGAATGCAGTTTGATAAACTATGAGGATCTCTGAGAGAAGAAAGAGGTATACCAGAAGCGGAAATAAAGTTTAACTACTCAAAATTCTTACAGTCAGAGGGATCAGTGTGTGAAATGAGATACAATTCAAAACAAGTCATAGGGATGATAAAACAATCCAAAAGTCTGCAGCAGCAGGTTAAACAGAAAGAGAGAGAGATAGAAGGTTTGGAAAAGAGGACAGAGAAAGCTAAAAGGCTAAAATGCTTGGTAAGCATTAAGTGATTGATTAAGTCTTCATTAAATTCCACATGAAAAGAAAAGCTATCTCACATGAGGAAAAACAATCTAGGTTACTTAAGGGAGAGACAAGCTACTGTGCATTTTAGTTTAGGGTCTGTTTTTCTATTTTTTCCAAATTGCTTGGCCTAGTAGAATTCACCTTAGCTGTTGAAATATGGCGAGTATCAGAGTCATTAGTGATTGCCTTCATAAAGGTTTTGTCTAGAAAACTGAAAAAGATCAAACAAGCCACCTGTTTCAAAAGCTGTAGACAAGAGAATGGAGACTTCGGTTAATGTCACCTCCCAAGAAATGCCAGAAAATTAGACAAACTATTTATAAAAATTAAGACTCCAAAGAAGCAAGTAGGAGGCCAGGTTGGTCTGTCAAGCACATATTGATCTGAACCTATACAATTTCCCTCTTTGACTGGGAACAGGCTTTGTGGACAGAGGAAAGCATGTCAAAAATCTTCATTTCTTAAGGTCCTTGACATTGTCTCAAGTAATATAGCAAAGGAACTAGAGAAACTTGGTCCAGATGAAACTACTAAAATGTGGAGAGCAAAGGTGCTCAGATGTTCAGAGGAAGGTTCATAGTCAAAAAGGAAGGCAGTGTCAATCAGCATTTCACAACAGACATATCCTGAGCTCACGCTACTCTTTATTAATGGCCTGGAAATAGTGCAAAAGGTATGGTTACTGCATTTTCATTTAACACAGTCAATTAGAAAATGGGGTAAGAACTCAAAAAATATCTTAGCAAACTGAAAAAGTGTTCTGTAGAAATATTTGCTTGGCATCAGATCTTCAGGAAAAGAACTCTGAAACCTATAGACAATCATATTGTTGCAGAAGTGTAAACATTGTGCTGGCACAGGCAAACAGAAATACTTTGTATGAGATGCACAGAAAGTTTCTTCCACACAATTTTCTAAATTTTTTTCCAAGAATGTATTCTTTAAGTAATATTAGTTCAGTGTCATAAAATCATATCTAAATCCTCTGTACAAGGAATAATGATACATCAAATGAATTATTCCTGTACGTAATGCTAATGTGAATTCATGCTGGGAAGAATACAGAGATGTTATCAAAGTCTGTAACATTAATACTGTCTATCTCTGTCATGCACAGATTTAGCATTTAGAAGGATACACAAAACTCAGACAACAATTGATCACCAGAGGAAGGCAGCAAGATTAAAATCAATTAACAGTAAAGCAAAGGCAGATCCTCACTATCGTCTTCTAGTCCCTCATTTTGTTACAGTTGACTTTTACAAAGGCAATGACAATAAATTTATTGTAATTTATATCTATATTTATAGTCATTTTGATCATCATGCGTTGTCACATTTTAAACCACAGCAGAACACAATTTCTTGGTTTAATTCCTTGTTTTTCCTTTTTTGAAGATGAATGCAAGAAGTATTTTGTAGAAATATAGAGAAAATCCCTTATCACTGTATTATTAGCTGAAAGCTACTATTTTTTTTCTCCAGCTAGGCTGCAATGGCTTCCAGGTCATCCAGCTGCCAACCTGTAACAATGAGAAATAAATCACCCAGCTGCCTCGTTATGGTTTTCCCAGCAGTGTTAGAATCTTCTCTGCTGGATTTCAAAAACAGAAGCAACCATAAAGGTCCCCCAGAAGATCCACAGTTTTGGATGGGTTTTCTGAAGGCTTCACACTCTTTGTTGGCAATAAGAGACCTTGTTAAATCCCCAGCTCCAGCAAACAACTTATACACCCATGGGTCACAAAAAGCCCTGTAGTGGATGTTTCTACATTAATGAGGGCTAAGCTCCTCAATATAAATTTTAAAATAATGACACACCATAGAACAAAACCTCATAAAGGCAATCATAGGTTTTTATATTTAAAGGACACTGATCCAAGGAAGAGAGAATAGCCTTTCAGCCAATGCCCATATACAGCTATCTCAAATTAAGGAAGACCATAGCTAAGAATGGTTGGCAGTCAGCTGCCACCACTAATCACATGCAGTTGGCATGGTAACTCTTTCTTATCTTTTTTACTATAGAAAATAGGTGTTATTTTTAAGGTTACCCACTGCACATTGTTATATACAATATACTCTAAAGTTTTTAAACATTTAGAGAAAACAAAATTTGGCAGAAATATGTTGTAAACAATGTCTATCCATATAGTCAATGAATAATCCTACTAAATAATGTCATAGGTAATTTTAAAAGGCCTTTTGAAACATCAAATTATTTTGCTGCAAATAATGAAATATTGGTTTGCAATATTTTAAGTAAGTGTGTGACTGATGAGCTGAATTCAAATCCTTAAAATCAGTTTACCTCAATTTTATGTTAAAATATTTTTAAAGCAGATAACTCTACCTCCCAACCCCTGTATTTTACTCACTTAAATTGTTCTCATTTTTAATGTTGCTTGTATATGCAACAAAACTCCTTCTTTGTCATCTGTTCTGTGACAAACGGAAGCTTTTGTTTTCATCAACATCCTGAAGAAGGTAAAACTACTATAAGACCACTTGGAATAAAATAATAACATCCCAGTCATCTTGCAAACTAAAATAAGTTGTTAACTAAACCATCTCAGGTTAGCTGCATCTGCTAAACTAAATCTGTTAGTTTAGATATTGGATATATTGAACTAATTTCAATAGTTTCTACTTCTCCCTCCTTTCCTTCCTATTTCTTTAGCTCTTACCAGTTTCTCACTCTTACTGTAATTCCTAATGGCATTCCTCTGGTTGTTCCTATGGCCAGACTGAGTTAAACCTATATGGTTGTTTTAGGCATCCTCTCAGATAACACATTTTGATATCCTTTTAACCATCTGAAATCTGGATTTTTTGACTTGGATAATGTTGAGATTTGTGATAAGGGCAATATACCTCTTGAACTTTTAAAAATACTGCTATATTCCCAGATTCAAGACGCAATTTAATGGGTCCTTCTAGGCTTATTGTGTAGCACCCCATAGAGTTTTAGGGAGCTACCAATGAAGATCAGCCATAATCACTTCCTTGGAAATTTTGTATCAAATATGCCATAATTATGAGGTTCAAGAAATTGAAGCAGTGTGTTTTCACTGAAGCAATGAGATTATTCAACCAAATTAATTCAGCTATTTATGTAGAATAAGTACCACAACTGTTTGCTACTGGTAAGAGTTTGACTGATAGGGGAGTAGCACCAGGGAGGAAATATCCTATATCCAGGATGGATAGAGGATAGCTGAAAGCCAATAGGCAACTGTTGGAAAGGTACAAATAGGCTGAAGTAACCAGGGGGAGAGGGAATGGGAGATAGGACAGCTATGGAAGGGAACAGCAGCTGAAGCCCCTGAAGGTGTGGAAGAACCAGATCTTGAAGCTAAGAAGTAGCTGAGAAGGTATCCAGAAGAATGATGGTGTGATATGACCTCAAAGTTCAAGAGAATCTTATTATTTCAGAAATGTCCAGCAAAGCAACCTCTAATGAGATCTGTCACATGTTAGTAACATGTCATGTGTGCTCTCCAAATGCAGATAACAATGTACTAGAGACCATGGGCTTCC